TGATTGATGCAATTTTTCCAAGAATTATGGGAGCTAAGACTGCAAAAGAAGCATGGAAGACGTTGCAGGAGGAGTTTCAAGGAAATGACAAGGTACGTGCTGTCAAACTTCAATCTCTAAGAATAGATTTTGAACTATTGAAGATGAAGGAGTCTGAGACAGTTAAAGATTACTATTCTAAAGTTAAAGAAATAGTTAATCAAATGAGAGCTTTTGGGAGGATATTCTTGACAAGAAAATTGTTGAGAAAATTTTAATTACTATGCCCCCAAAATTTGACCCAATCGTGACAACAATAGAGGAAACCAAAGATCTGTCAACTCTATCAGTGACAGAACTAGTGGGCTCTCTTGAAGCATATGAGCAAAGACTACATAGGCATAAAGAAGATACACTTGAAAATGCCTTTCAGTCAAAGCTCAAATTTAAGTCCCAAAATAAATAAAATGGAGGAAAGAAAAATTATGGTGAAACTTCCAAAAGAAGAGAAGTTCCTAAAAATTTCCAAAAGAACAATCCAGATAAAAATATTCCATGCAATATATGCAAACGACTAGGCCACGAGGAGAAAAGTTGTTGGTACCGTAATATGCCACAATGCAATCATTGCAAGAAATTCGGGCACATAGAGAAACACTGTCGCAACAAAAATAAGCATCAAGCTAATATCGCAGAGGAGCATGATCAAGAACAATGTATGTTCTATGCCACTCAAGAATCAATCAAAGAAAAAGGAGGAAGTTGGTACTTGGATAGTGGATGTAGCAATCACATGGCCAAGGATGAGACTATTTTCAAAAGCATTGATGAGTCAGTCAAAGTCAAAGTTCGACTAGGAAATGGAAGTGTGGTTGAGTCAAAAGGAAAAGACACCATCATGGTAGAGACAGATAAAGGTACGCGACTCATCCATGATGTCTTACTAGTTCCCAGTCTAAAAGAAAATCTTCTAAGCATTGGCCAAATGATAGAGAGAGGCTACACACTTCACTTTGAAGGAGGTGTATGCAAAGTCTTAGACAACAAGAATAAAAGGGCCGAGATAGCCGAAGTGAAGATGAATAAGAGCAATAGAAGCTTCTCGCTAAATTTAAAATATACAACTAACATTGCCATGAAGGTACAAGTTGATGATTCATGGCTTTGGCATCGAAGATTTGGCCACTTCAACACACATGCCTTGAAGTTGTTACATGATAAGAACATGATGAGAGATCTTCCAAGCATAAAGGATAACAATGAAGTGTGTGAAGGATGTCTCCTTGGTAAGAAACGCCGATTTCCATTCTCAACAAGCGGAGCATGGAGAGAAAAAGATCTGTTGGAGCTGATACATACTGACGTCTGTGGACCGATGAGGACGCCATCACACGAGAACAACAGGTACTTCATACTCTTCATTGATGACTTCTCTAGAATGACATGGGTCTATTTCTTGAAAGAAAAATCAGAAGTTTTTGGAGTATTCAAAAGGTTCAAGGCCCTTGTTGAAAATCAAAGTGGAAAGCGGATAAAAGTACTAAGAAGTGATCGCGGCAAAGAGTACACATCCCGCGAGTTTGATAGATTTTGTGAGGATGAAGGCATAGAGCGACAACTTACAGTCGCATATTCTCCTCAGTAAAATGGTGTGTCTGAGATAAAGAATCGCACAGTTATGTAGATGGCTAGATCGATGCTCAAAGAGAAGCGACTACCTAACACATTCTGGGCTGAAGCAGTCTACACTACTGTTTACTTACTCAACAGATGTCCAACTAAATATGTACAAGATAAGACTCCAATTGAGGCTTGGAACGGGAAGAAGCCATCAGCAAAGCACCTAAGGGTCTTTGGATCTATATGCTACATTCATATTCCAGACGTGAAGAGGCATAAGCTTGAAGACAAGACTATACGAGGTATCTTCTTGGGGTATAGCACAATATCTAAAGGCTACCGTGTATATAACTTGCAAACAAAAAAACTCATCATCAGTCGAGATGTTGAAGTTGATGAGAATGCTTCTTGGAATTGGGATGAAGAAAAAGTGGAGAAGAATGTTCTTATACCCACTCAACTACCTCAAGAAGAAGTTGAGGAAGAAGTCCTAGGTGAACCTTCTTCACCTCCACCACAACAACAAGTTCAAGAACTATCATCACCAGAGTCTACTCCAAGACGAGTAAGATCTTTGAGAGACATATATGAAACCTGCAACATGGCCATACTCGAACCTGGAAGCTTTGAAGAAGCATCAAAGCATGAAGCATGGGTCAAGGCAATGGAAGAAGAGATAAAGATGATCGAGAAAAATAACACATGGGAGTTAGTAAATCGTCCCCATGGAAAAGATATCATTAGGGTTAAGTGGGTCTATAAGACAAAGCTCAATCCTGATGGCACCATACAGAAACATAAGGCGAGGCTAGTAGCTAAGGGTTACTCACAACAACCCGGGGTTGACTACAATGAGACATTTGCACCAGTAGCTCGTGTTGACACCATTAGAGCTCTAATAGCTCTTGCGGCACAAAAAGGATGGAGTATACATCAACTGGATGTCAAATATGTCTTCCTCAATGGTGTACTTGAAGAAGAGATCTATGTGGAGCAGCCACAAAGATTCATATCTGAAGGCGAAGAGAGAAAAGTGTTAAGACTAAGAAGAGCACTATATGGTTTGAAGCAAGCTCCTCGAGCATGGTATAGCAGAATCGATCAATATTTCATGGATCAAGGATTTAGGAGAAGCAAGAGTGAGCCCACACTATACATCAAGTCTCAAGGTCAGTACACTCTCTTACTCTCTCTATATGTAGATGACCTTATCTACACGGGAAACAATACTAAGATGATAACGAAGTTCAAAGAAGACATGATGAAGACCTTTGAGATGACCGACCTTGGTTTGATGAGTTACTTCCTCGGTATAGAGGTAAGCCAAAGAAATGAAGGGATATTCATCTCACAAAAGAAATATACAGAAGGCTTACTTAAGAAATTCAAGATGTACGGTTGCAAACCTGTCGCTACCCCACTCATAACAAATGAGAAACTACAAAAGAATGATGGAGCACCAGAAGCTGATGCATCCAAATATCGAAGTTTAATTGGAAGCCTCCTATATTTGACAGCTATGCGGACAAACATAATGTATGCTACAAGTCTTCTATCAAGATTCATGCAAAGTCAAATACACTTTGGAGCAGGAAAAAGAATTTTGAGATATCTACAAGGAACAAAAGAGTTAGGAATATGGTACTCTACCGAAACTAACTCAGGATTACTTGGCTACACCGATAGTGATTGGGCAGGTTCGGTAGATGACATGAAGAGCACCTCTGGCTATGCTTTCTCACTCGGATTAGGAATTTTCTCTTGGGCGTCGAAGAAGCAAGCTACGGTTGCACAATCCACAGCAGGAGCAGAGTACGTGGCAGCTGCTGAAACAACGAGTCAGGCTATATGGCTTCGTAGGATACTTGAAGACATGGGAGAAAAACAGGATCAACCAACTAAAATCAATTGCGACAACAAATCAGCAATTGCAATGGCAAAGAATCCAGTGCATCACAGTAGAACAAAACATATAGCAATCAAGTATCACTTTATAAGAGAAGTTGAAGCAACTAAAGAGATCAAACTCGACTACTGCAGAACAGAAGATCAAATTGCAGACATATTCACGAAGGCGTTGCCGAGACCAAGATTTGAAGAGCTACGAGCTATGCTTGGAGTCAAAGAAATTTGTATCAAGGAGGAGTGTTAAATTTGCTACAAATTTCTAGAGAGTTCTTAAATATAATATGTAAGAAAATATAGAACATCCTAGAAACTATAAGGTGTATGAATATGGTAGAATAATCTAGATATATAAGTATATGGCAAAGATAGAAAAATCTAGATTTATCATGATAATAACCTATCATGAGAACTCTAGAATATTCACCACCATTGAAAGGTTGGTGACTTGAGCCTATAAATAGGCATTTGCTACATTGTAAACCATCATCCAAGAAATTAATCACAAAATCTTCTTTCTAAACTACTCTCTAAAACTATCTTCTACCAATTATCATCTAAACAATTTCAAACAACTACACTTGTTACAGCATGCATTATGACATTCACTAATTTCTCTGGCAATTGTACTTCAACCAAGATCCTCTAGATAAATTCCCAACACAGCCTATCATATTCTTTAGAAAGGTCAACCTTAATAGAAAAGGAACCTCTCTTGCCTTTCATCTTATGCATAGAATGCATCATTTCTCGTGCAACTACTATATTCTCATAAATGTAACTTCCAGGAACAAACCCTGTTTGATACAGCGACACAAGCTTTGGAATACACTCCTTCATTCTATTAACCATAATCTTCTTGTTTATTTTATAATTAGTATTGCAAAGGGATATTGGCCTGAACTGCTTAACATACTCAGGGTTGGCAACTTTCGGTATCAGGAAAATGTTTGTTTGATTCACTTCAGCAATAATGCTATAATCATCCTACACTCGCTTAACAAACTCACACACACTGTGATCCCTATAATTCTCCAAGATTTTTGGTAAGAAAACAGCTGGAAAACCATCAGGGCCCAGTGCCTACAAAGGCTTCATATTGAAAATGGCACTTCACTTCCTCATTACTTATGGGAGTAGCTAACCTCACCTTGCCTCTCTATCCAAAGCTGGAAATGTAATATCAGATTGCCACCGGTTTCACATAAGATGTTTTTCTATGAACATATCTTGTTAGTGCCTATTTACCATTGCATGGAGCTGTTCCACATCCTCTATTCATCTTCCTTCATCATTCTTCAGCATAAGGACTTTATTTTAACTCCTTCTCGTCACTATTTTAAGGTGATAATGCCAAGTATTTTGATCACCTTCCACTAACAAATTCATGCGCAGACTGTTGGAACCACATGAACTCATCTCTTTTCAGAATGTCATACATGCATCTCCTACTGTGGCTTGACTCAAGTTTCCACAAACTTGCTCTATGATAACCATTATTCATACTTCTTTGGACTCCATAAAGCATGTTCATAAACTCTTTTTTCCCTTATCACTTGAGCGAAGTTCAGGAACTTCCAGTTTTTAATACCTTTATCTACACTCTCCAAGTTTCTTTTCATAGATTCTTCATTCTTCCAAATTTTCTCCGTCATGTTATTGTACGTAGAGTTTAGGAACCACACACTCTTAAACCGAAATTGGGCCTGCGCAACCAGGTGAGGAGCTTCCATTAAGGTTATGAGTAAGGGATGATGATCTGAGAAGTCTAGCCGCGTAAGCATTCTAACGTCTCCATTTGGAAATTCAATCCTACATTCTTCATTACCTAATGCTCGATCTAATTTTTCAAATATTCTCTGACCTCCATTATATACAGGTCTTCTCCAAGTAAATTTTGAACCACTCGTACCAAGATCAAGAAGGTTACAACTGTTGACACGTTCTTTAAAAATATTGCACTTGCAAATAGAAATTGCAGCTCCTCCCTCTTTTTCATCCGCACTTGTAATATCATTAAAGTCTCTTGCCACTAACCAAGCTTCGTGCATAGTATCAGCTGTTTTCTTTAGCTTCTCCCAAAGATATTTATGAATGTCTTCATTAGGGCTAGCATATATAAGAGTCAACTGATGATTCGACGGTCCATCCAAATTACTTCTTGCAAGGACAAGTGAAGATTTCTCTCCTCTACCTTCATCTTCATTGCCACACTGCTAATTAAAACCTCATTCATATCTTTCTGCGCACCCTTCTTTGTAATGCCCAAACCTTCCACAACTAATACACATCAAATGCAGTCCTTCATATTCAATGTTATATTTTCTATCCTTGATGGTTAACATTCCCAGTAACGGTTTTGTCAAGTTTACTTGGACAAAGAGCATGGCACACTTCCCATGTTCTCGAGTTAAGGTATTTTTGTCTACCATCATTTTCTTGCCGATTTTGTTACATATGAAATGTAGTATACTGCTAGTATTCTTTTTGAAATCCCAAGATCGCACCAACATTACCACCTCCTTAATAGTTTCACTCGCCAGATGAAATGCTGAATCTGATCAGACCCGAATGTCTCCGCCACAAATATAACGAGGAAAAACTAATTTAACTGGGGATTGAGGCGGATATGGAGAAAACCACATTTTTTATTCATGGGGGCGGGGACAGCGGTGTGGAATGTATGTACTCGTCCGACTTGGAATGAGGGCGGGGGTGCAGCTAGTACAGAGCGTCAGGGGCGGGAATAGACCAAAAAATGTCTCATTAAGGCTGCATATTAATATTCTACAATAGTTATAAAAGTGTCAGAGTTATATAGGGTGACCCTCTATTAGGGTGAGAATAGACCAAACCAATTAACATAGGCCTACGACCTTAGTCTATTTAAGTCTGTCCTAGTCTAATCCATTTAGTAAAAAGATTAGGCTTAGTCTATCTAAGTCTGTTAGGCTTAAGCTTTCTTAAAAATCTATTTAATTAATTAGATAGATTCTTTTAGCCATGGACCATTGATAAACAAATAATCCCTTTTGGCATTCATTTATCTTCCTTTTTCATGAAAATTAATCTTTCTTTGACCAACCCTATCTCTCTCTTTTGTAGATTTTTCTATCTCAACATTAACCCTTTCAATTTTAATTTTTAAGATTTCTCTTCATTTACCTGCAAGCTAACCAATTATTTATACAAAAATAGCTCATCCTTGTCCATTTTATGGAACTATTTAAAGTTAGCTTCAAGATCATTCATCAGTTCACTTTCTTTTGATAGTAATTTTTCTACAGCTTCTGAAATACTTAATGCATTCCCATACTCCAAATGCAATTATTCAAAAGATTGTAGTATTTTTTATATTTCTGTTTTAGTAGTCATACCAAATTCTTCATTTTGAGGAAGTCCTAGGAGGAGGTTTCTTAGAGCAATTCTAGTTTAAAAATAACGAATCAACAAATGAGAGTGTTTTTTTTTGAGGATGATGAACCTTAGAGAACGTGAATGACTATCTTTGTTCTTTTATTAGGACTATAAGATAGTTGTGCTGCATGTGAAGGAGACGTTGTCTCTAATGATTAAAGAGATGCATCAAATGCTTTCATATTTCAAGTTTCATTATGTTTCATTATGTGTGACCGGATTTTTCATCTTTAGTTGGTCATAGAAATTATATATATATATATATATATATATATATATATATATATATATATATATATATATATATATATATATATATATATATATATATATATATATATATATATATATATATATATATATATATATATATATATATATATATATATATATATATATATATATATATATATATATATATATATATATATATATATATATATATATATATATATATATATATATATATATATATATATATATATATATATATATTGATCTGACCTGATCAGAAGGGGATCACTAACGGTCCCCACTCTGTTGGACTGCTACCTGTTCACCGTTGATGAGGAGGATAAGGGGGGTGTACCTGCAAGACACTCCGATGCCAAAGTAAGGAATTGGGCAGAATGAGAGCAAATACAGAAATGGGGTAAGAAGTGAATTACCTGACCCTCTTGTGGAATAGGGTATTTGTAGAGAGACCCCAGCGCTGGGCCAACGGTCACTTGCATTGGGCTGGATTGTCAGGCCTAACCCAAGTGACTGCTAGGGCTTACGTGGTGTAGTGAAGACTAGAACGTGGTCTTCGCCCTAGACCAACTGTCCCGTGATCTCCGGAAAGTGGGTTTGACCTGCTCTTTCGGAGGTAGGCAGTTGGTTAGTGACGTGTCCCCGCGGAGGGGACCACGTGGAAAACGTGCGCAGGGCACGTTGCTCTCCCCGCGGAGGGGAGCTCGGGAGGTTCACCGGAGGCGTGTTGTTCTCCCCGTGGAGCGGAGCACCCCAGGGCGTGGGAGAGGCACGTTGTCTTGCTTGTCGGTATGAGGATTCTGCCCGCGGGAGCTGTCCTGTCCGACGAGGGGACGACGACTGGCAAATGTCTTCCCGCGAAGATGAGGCCGCAGGGGCGTCTTGAGGCACGTGGTTCTCCTCGGTGGGCGCGAACTCCGCCCGTCGAGGGTTTACGTGCCCGGTCATCTCACTAAACCAGTACTGGGCTTTATTCCGTATACTATTGGGCTGGGCCGCATGGCAAGGCCGGGGCCTAGGCCAGAACAGGAGCCCCCCAAGTCGAAGCTCTTCGGTGGACGAGAGAGGACTTGAGAACGCCGTTCCGGGGAAGAAGGTTGCAAGGTGCGTGATTACGCCCGATCACGTTCGTCGAGGTGTGTGTGCGCGACAGTCTTTCCATGTCGCCGGGTGCGCGGGGCAAAGGCATTCGAAAGGGCGCGACTGTCAGCCTACCGCCACGTGTCATGCCCTGAGTAGGCGCGAGGGCGGCTACCCTAGGGCACTCAAGGGCCTAGTGCCGCTTGGGGTTCCGCCCGGGTTATAAATATGGGGGTCCCCGCGCTCTTTTTACTTTTCACTTTGCCTTTTCACTCGCGAAGCTCCGTAATTTCTCCCCGTCTGCCGTTGCTGTGCATCGCCGTCGCGCCGTCCGTTTCGCATTCCGCTAATCGCCGCCTATAAAGTGAGTTTTTCTTCCCTTTTTCTTTTATTTTCGCTGTTTATTTTGAGTCTGTGGTCGGGACACGATGAATTCCCCGAGGAGAGACGCGATGCTCCACCGTATCTGGTGGTGTTTTAGAGTTGTTTGGATGAACGTGCCAGGGAGGAATGATTACTCTGATGAAGGCCCCGGGAACGGGTGCTTCTTCCGATGAAGCCCCCGGGGAGGGGCGATAGGTTAGCTTTGAATGCCCCAAGGAAAAGTGGTGAGGAGTGCCCCTCGGGGCCTGCCGGGGCGTTTGTCTTTTGTTCGCGGGCCCGCTGTTGTCGCCCTTTCACTTGACCTGCGGTGGAAGGGTGGATTTGATCTTGGCTATCGAATTCACCATTATCCTCTGCTTTTCAGGTGTTCATGTCGGCCTTGATACCGGGGACGATGGTCGAAGACAACGAGCCCGAAGTCCCGGATTTTGACGAGAGGGTTCTCCCCGTCGAGGAGTGGGTGGCTGAAGAGCCCCTGTCCACCCCGTCTTGTTTCGCCTTTGATACATCTGGTGCCCATACTACCGTAGAGGATCGGGTGGAGGGGGAGCCGCAACACTGGCAAGTGTACAGTCTCAAGGAGCATCATCGTATCGGCTCGAGCTATGGGCGGCAGACGTTTCCTATGCACGAGTTCTATTTCAAGGAGGCTCGGCTCAGATTGCCATTTTCTGCTTTCCATTTGGGTCTTTTTGACTGGTTGCGTTTGGCCCCGTCCCAGCTGCATCCCAACGCCCTGGCCTTTATCCGCGCATTCGAGCTGGTGTGCCACTTTCTCCAGGTCGAGGCCACGGTGCCCTTATTTTTCCGCATCTTCCACCTGCAGCGCCAATCGGTGAATGGTCGTCAGGGTTGGGTCTCGTTTAAACAGCCGACCACGCTTTTTAAGACGTACAGCGACTCCGTCCGGGATTTCAAGGGCCAATTCTTCCTCGTGAGGTCGATCACTAGTGAAGGGTCGGACTCTCTTTTTACTGAGGGGGAGCGAGTGGTGGACGACCAGCGGTTCGTCGCGTGGCTCCCGAAGGTGCATTTGTTGTGTACCTCGGAGCACTTCAACCGCGAAACCGACCGGTATATAGTGCGGGCTGGGAACCTCGACGAGGGGGACATGGCCGCCTATATGAAAATAGTGGCGTTTATGCGGGGTCTGCCCCCGTCGAAACTGGTGACGCCTGATGGTCGGTATATCTTCGACGCGCAAGGGAACATGCGAACAAAGAAGAGGATGATTAACACGAAGACCTTGCTCGGTTGCGCCTCGGCGGCGGACGCTCTGGAGTACCTAGGTAGGGACGCTTCTTCTTTCTCGTGACTGTATTTTTTGTCTGTTGCTGACTCTTTTTGTTTTTTGCAGCGAACATGTCTTCCGTTGAAGAGCGGGTGAAGAAGCTGTGCACCTCGAAGGTCGCCGGTGCTGCGAAGACGCGGGTGAGCCAATTGGTCGGGCAGGAAGTTGTGGTCCAGGGTGGTCAGAGTTCATCTTTGTCTCCCTAGGAGAGTCAATCTCCCTCATCTCAGGGAACTGCGAAGAGGCCCATGACCGAGGAGCCCAGTGGCCTGATTGATCTGACGACCGGGTCAGCCGAGGAGGGTTACGTCGTCCCGCCGTGCCACCAACACCTGGGTTATTTTCACGGGGCCCGATCCCCCACTATTTCTGCTGGTGAAGTGAAGGCGGTTCTGGATGCAGATCGAGAGTCTCGTCGTCGCATCTTGGCGGAGGATTTGGCTGCGATGATGCAGACTTTTACCACGGCGATGGTCCTGAGTGAGGAGGGCTGCTCCGCCGTTGAGCTGACCAAGTTGCGGAGGGATCTCACCTTCATGCAGTCGCGCCTATCCAAGCTCACCGAGGAGCTGGAGAAGAGTCAGAGGGACGCCGCTGACCAGCGCAAGCGGGCGGATGGTGCCGAGG